ATTTTTTACTTTTGCCATTAACAATGTAGCTTGGCAAGGATTAATTTTGTAGCTTTTTAAAGGGTTGAGTCAATTGCGATATTAAAGGACCTTGAATTGTTAATATTGTCACTATGATATAATTTGGGATTCTCTAATGGCGGATGGCTTATTCCATATGAAATTTGAGGAAGTGAGAAGTTGTTTTAATAAGTACTTATACTTAGAAAGGATAAAGTTGTCATTAAATACTTATTACGATAACAATTAGAATTTACTCAAGCAGACGTGAAAGCAGCAATGTTTAGTATAAACGAGTAAAAAAGTCCAAGGCCAGACGGTTACAATAATAGTTTTTACAAAGCAGCTTGAGAAATAGTAGGAAAGGATGTTACAGAAACAATACTAGAGTTCGTTAGGTCTGGGAAACTATTGAAACAAATGAATGCTACTATAATTTTTCTGATCTCAAAACGGTTAGTCCCAGAGATGCAATTGAATACAAGCCAATAGCCTGTTGTAATTCAGTGTTTAAATGCAGCTCCAAGATGTTGAGTAGCAAGTTCAGTCAAGTATTGCTAGATATTATAGACCTGGACCAAGGAGCTTTAGTAAAAAATCGATCAATTTTCCATAATGTATTGCTGACACAAGAACTGATCAGGCTTTACAGGAGGAAAACAATAAAGGCCAGTTGCTTATTGAAAGTAGATTTACGGAAGGCATTTGGCTCCATCCATTTGCGATTTATTTATGAGATAATGGATCAATTTAGATTTCCAGCAAGGTTCAACCAATGGATAATGGAATGTATAACCACTAGCAGGTATTCTCTTAACATGAATTGAAGTACTGTGGAATATTTTGAAGGAAAAAGGGGACTAAGACAAGGAGTCTCCTTTATTGTTAGCAATGGCAATGGAGTACCTCAACCAACTCTTTAAAGCATAAGTAGAAAAAAACATATTTCAAGTATCATCAGCACTGTGACAAACTCAAAATCATAAAATTGAGTTTTGCTGATGATCTTATTATCTTATGCCAAGCAGACACTTCAACAGTAAGAAGCATAAAGAAAGTTCTCACACAGTTTGCAGGGTCTCAATGTAAATTACCAAGAGTCCAGTATTTACTTTGGAGGAGTATATGAGGAAATGCAAAGTAAGTTGCAGCAAATAATGGTTTTTGGTAAAGGAAGATTTCCCATTAAGTACTTGGGAGTTCCCCTTTCATCAACATCTTGGACACAAACTGATTATCAGATATTAGTGGAGAAAATTGTTGCAAGAACAAAATGTTGGTCAACCAGGCACTTGTTCTATGCCGGGTTAGTTTTAGTGAACTCTATGCTATTAAATCTCTATTCATACTGGGCTGGAATGTTCTTAATCCCAAAGTCAGTAATACAACAAATTCAAAAGGTGCTGTAGAGTTTTTGGGCATCAGCAGGAAGAACTAGATCAAAAGTGGCTTGGGATGAGGTGTGTTTAACAAAAGCAGAGGGAGGGCTGCATATAAAGAATCCAGAATCATGAAATAAAGCTCTGCTAGGAAATCGATTATGGGATATTGCTCAAAGAAAAGAAAGTTTATGGATCAGATGAATCCATATGTATTATCTGAAAGGCAAAAACATCTGAAAATATCAGCTGACATAAAATACTAGTTGGCATTAGAAAAAGATCATAAAAATCAGAGATAAGATGATAAGAGGAGTGCTGAATGTAAGGAAAAATACACATCAAAGTCTGGATATTACTAGCTGATGGGACAACATAGAAAGCAAAGGATAGCAAAAATAATATGAAATACTTTTAACTCACCAAAGTACAGTTTTATATGTTGGATAGCAATAAAGGTCAGATTGTTAACATAAGACAAAATGCTATGTATGGGATATTTTCAGGTAATGTGAAATGTGTACTGTTTTGGTGCTGCTGGGGAGAATGTGGATCATCTATTTTTCATGTGTAGTTATTCTCAGAAGTTTATACAATTAGCACTGAATTAATTTGGAATAAGGAGGAGGATGCCTACTTTTAGAGACAGTGTTAACTGGTTGCTAAAAAACTGGAGATATAAGAAGTTGGGACGGAAAATACTGTATGCATGAGTAGTTGTTGCTATGTATCACATATGGAAGGAGAGGAATGAAAGGAAATTTGGCAACACTAAACATGCAGAAGAAGTAAGGTTTAGTCAGATTGTGATGGAAGTTAAATGGAAAATTCAAAATTATTGTAAAATGGATAATGACGATGATATTCGATACTTAAAAAAAATTGGGCCTAAAAAGTGTATATAATAGCTGTTAAGGAAATGTACGAATGATGAGTGATTGTGCATAATACAAATTTTACCTTTAGTAAAAAAAAAAACAATTAGAATTTAGAATGGCAATACAGTTTACACCTCAAGAGGAATTTAAAAAATACAATGCCCCAATTAAGAATTTTTAACTCCTGCAACGCCCCTACCTTTCAAACAGAGCGGAAGATGGAACTTTCAGTCTCTCACTATTACCGTGGTAAATTCTGCAAAAATTATTTACCGCGCATGGGACCCAAGGCCCTACTTCAATGACTCTCATCTTCGTCGAGTTTAAAAAAAAAAAAAAGAAGAAGAAAATAGTCAGACCTCCACTTCCTCTGAAATACCACCGTTAATCATCGGAACCATCACTTTTCCGCCGTCGACAACCACCATTGTCCGTCGTTAGCCACCACTTTCTCATCAGCTGCTCGAATCAAGCATCTTGACTATTTCAGGTTCGTTAAACGTTTGCTTCTTTCCTTATTTATTATGTATGTTTGAACGATAAGTCTGTCCGTAGATTTTTTGTTAGTGTTCTTTCTTTTCAATGGAAATTGTAGAAATTGAATTGGGATGACCACGAAGAATAAGACCTATTTTATTTGCTGGGTTCATTCAGAGAGTCAACTTTATAAAGTTTGGTAGTTCTTTCGTGTCCCTTATTTCCCGATTCTATTATCGATTGTCAAGTTTCTGATTTTTGAAGTTAATTTTGATGCTCGTGTAAATATAATATTTAGGCTATGCTTTTGTCTGAAAGTGGTTCGTTGTCCTTTTTTTTGGGTGTGGAATTGTGACAAACTCGTACATTTTGGATTGAGTTTGCACCTTTTCTTCAGCTCGATGTTAAGAGCCTTGGAACTTAGGTTCCCCTAGTATTTAACTAGCACTTTCGTGGAACTGTTGATGTTAAGTATATACGTAGTTTGCTTCGTTGCCGCTGTTCTTGTGATTTAAGCTGAAAACGAAGTAGCACGAACTCTTCCTTTTAGTAGGTTTGTAGCATTTCCGGTTTCATAGATGTACATATTATATTGTTTCGGGGTTGTTCTTGGATTTGAAGGTTTTAGCATAATGAACTGTCTTTCAAAGTTGTAAGAGTCAGAAGCTACCCGTTTACGAGCTTATTGTCTATTTTCAAAGATAAGAACCCGCCCGAGCCATCAGTGTAGTGCTATTTTCCTAACAGGTCATTGCTTGTGGCATCTGAGTTGAAGGTGTCTTTGTAGTCACCGATTTTCTTAACTTTTTCTCTAAATAGTATTATTTACACCTTAGTTGTTGAATCAAGAGTTAATTTGCTCCTTGAACCTCAACCAAAGGATATGATTTGGTGGAGCTTTTTATGACAAGACCCCTTATGTTGGATAAAGGCTTCATCTGTTTTGGGGATAAATACCGTAAATATATTAATTAATCAACGAGTATATACATTTGTGTACAAGTTGATACCATTCATTCAACTAAACTCCTTTTTAAACTATTGCAAAACTGGTCCTGGTCACCTCCTCCTGAGCTGACCAAACTCCCGTATCAAATTAAACAAGACTTTTAAGAACTCAGGTCAAAGGTGATTCAAAAGACAATTTTTCCCTTTAAATGAAGCTATGTTTTTCGTATTCTGTTTGTTTTAGCATTGAAATTGACGAAATTATCATGAGTAGGGTGTTTGAATTGATAGGTGGCTGATTCGTTCAGAGAAAATCTATGATGGAACAAAAATGCTTGACGAGAATAGTTGTGTTATCGAGTAATTTGTCTGACTATCTTATACTTTATTTTTCTGAAAAGTATCTTCAATGAAGTGATTCATGAAAACCTTCAACGATGGGCCACATTTTTGCAAATCTTAGGAGGGTTGTATCCATTCTTCTATGATCTGGAGAACAGGGCTTGTTCCCAAGAAATTGATCCAAGGCTTTCCAAGTTGATTGTGGTTTCTCTTTGTGCTTCTAGTTTTTGTTAACCATGTTTGTGAGTGTGAAGTGTCTTTTAACAAGCAAAATACATTAATTGAATCTGGATTTAGGGTTTGCATCTTTTAGCTAAGTAATTAAATACGACTGAGCTGTATTTATTTACTATTTTTTCTATATACTCATACCAATCTATGTAAATGTGGACTCTTTTTGTCTCATGAAACTTTTTGAATTTCTTTGGGTTTTATCTCAGAACCGTCTTTGGCCTTTCTGCAGCCTTTTGACTGTGTTATAGAGGGCGTTAATCAATGCAATGCACTTACAAGTTGAAGAAGAATTTACTCCAGAGTCCAGCTAACTATTTATCGTCATAAAATTTGATTGGTTAGAGCGATAGCTTGAGCAGGCTACTTCAACAATGTGCTTTCCTGGTTTCTATTATCCAATTGTGTCTACATTTGTACTATTCTATGTCACTCAGAGGGATGCATATCCTCTGATTGTAACCTCAGTTAGTAAAACTTTACTGGATAATTGTTTGTAGTTTGTGGCTTGTATAAGCTGCCTGCATAAGTTCTAAATTTTAGTGTCCTTGTTGAAGTTGTGCCAGTGTATTTGGCATGTCTGAAATAAGTACAGCGGCGACGCTCAATTGTTTATCTTTCTGGCACCCTTCTTTGCTTGCAATGTGGGGATGAACTGTTACTGTTTTGAAACATTAATTTTGCTGTTGAGTGCAATTGTCATTGACTGATTCATTTGCCAATATGTGCTTCAGGAGTTTTTGACATGCACCGTGTAGCGAGTGCAGGGAACACATCAAGTTCAGTTCGGCCCCGCAAAGAAAAGAGGTTGACATATGTCTTGAATGACGCAGATGACACGAAGGTGAGAATTCATGTTAATAAGATTATGTGTATTGAAGAAAGTAACTTTTATCCCAAAGTTTATAAAAGGATGGGTGTGTCAATCTTCACCTATTTTTTATTTATTTATTTTTAATAAAACCCTCTCTCTTTCTCCATGGTTTCATTTTGAACTAAGGAATCTCCGAGTTTCTGACCCATCTATTTTCAGTTGATGTCTGTTTAACATGGATATTTTTCTTCTTTCTCATTCTTCTTGGATGATGGAACAATAGAGGTTCTTTGTCTGGATTTCTGGGTTTTATCTTGAGCATATTTCTTCGTTGCAGCATTGTGCAGGTATCAATTGTTTGGCTGTTTTAAAGTCTACCGGAGCTGATGAGCACGAGCGTCTCTTCACGGGCAGCCGTGATGGCACCTTAAAGAAATGGGAACTAACTGAAGATGGTGCCACCTGCTCCACGACATTTGAGTCTCATGTTGATTGGGTATTACTTGTTGTATTCGGTCCTTCGTTTACATAATCTTCATAACTGGGAAACTGATGTAACTTTTGCTGTCTACATAATGGTGAAATGGAACTGGTGCCTGTATGAGCTTCTAGTGTTTTACATGATTTTATAATGTTTGGTGGGAGAAAGATTTATCTACCAGTTAGGTGGGAGGGTTCATGAAGGCTAGATGAGTTGCAAGTTTCAAACTTTCTTTCCCCCCCTTTGTTTTGTGAATAGCTTGTAAATTTGAAGTCATATAATTGCAGGTCAACGATGCAGCCATTATAGGTGGGAACACACTTGTATCTTGCTCGTCAGACACTACAGTCAAGGTAAATTTGTTGCTATAGTTCCCCATGTTTAGATGCTGTACACTTATGGTGCATAAGACTTGATTTTGATTGCTTCTTCTTGGCTTATGCTATCTTAATTAGGTTTGGAATTGCTTGCATGATGGAACTTGTGTGAGAACCCTCCGACAGCATTCCGACTATGTCACTTGTCTTGCTGCTGCTGAAAATAATGTAATCCATCTTTGCTAAGTTTTTCTTTGTCGATTGATGGACTAACGGAAGTCTAATGATGCTCTTAATCTTGCAACTGTATCTTATGAAGCTACGGGTTCTCAAAATTTACAGTACTAGTACCAGAGTCTTCTATCCTTCTTTTCTTTCTTTGGTTGTCATTTTTTCTTTAAATTGTAGTGCAACATTGTTGCCTCCGGTGGCCTCGGTGGAGAAGTATTCATATGGGACCTCGAAACTGCACTTGCACCACAGTCGAAGACGAGTGATTCAACGGAAGATGAATGTGCAAATGGTATCCACGGGCCAGGAAGTTCTTTGCCAGTTACTAGTCTTCGACCTGTTAACTCAAGCAACAGCATTTCCTTACATACAACTCAATCACAAGGTTATATTCCCATTGCTGCAAAAGGGCACAAGGAATCAGTCTATGCATTGGCGATGAATGACAGCGGAAACCTTCTTGTTTCCGGTGGAACTGAGAAGGTATATTCTTGTAGATAGGTTAGTTTTCATCTTCCGGTTTTGTTAGACAACCACCCCCACACTTCTCAGCCCCCTTTCTTTTAAATTATGCTAAGGCTGCATCTGGTTACTACATTCATAAGTTGTAGTATATTCATTTGTTTATCTGTGACTAGAATTTTTTGTCTCTATTTTTGGTCTCTTTGAGTGTAGCTATAGTACATTGAAAAAGAGTTGAGCTTCAGGGATGTATTTAAAGTGTAGGAAATGTCATGATGAATGAGAAGTTCGAACCCAGTAATCGTTTTATCTTTGTCTCATTGTTAATTGATTGTTGAACCTTTTCTAATTGCCTGGTCAGTGTTGTGATATCACTTCTGTGTCCTGTACACTGTTTTTTGTAGGTTGTGCGTGTTTGGGATCCAAGAAGTGGTACAAAAACAATGAAACTTCGAGGGCATACAGATAATATTAGGGCGCTGCTTCTGGATTCTTCTGGCAGGTCAGTGGTTGATAGTTTGCCTTTTGCTCTATCTATTTCAGTTTAGTGTAAACATCACTCCTTGCAAGTCCAGCTGCAAGTATGAGCTTAGTTCCTATCGATGAGCAAGGTGTTCTTGTCTGGAAAAACAGATTATCAACCAACTTAGAGGTTTCTGTTTCAAAAGAGATGCTTTATTGAGAAAGTCGCAAAAAATTTGCCATTCAAATTTGTTGGATGATAAGTTGTAATATATGTATTAGTTAAACCATGAGGGTGAGACCCAAATGTGATTTTGCATGCATCTGTGTAAGATTCTTGCCCTCTTTAAAGCAGTAAGCTTCCTAATCAGGAGCTTCCTAACAGATTTCAGTAAATTTTTATTTCATGGTTTATTGTGAGTTGATTGTTAAACCATTATTGCCCTAAAAGTGTAGTTTTTCCTTTCATTTGCAGGTACTGTTTATCTGGGTCCTCTGATTCCATGATCAGGTAAATAAAAGGATATATCATTCTCGAAGCAAGCAATTCCGCCTTCATGTTTATCATTCTGAGTTAACTGAAATCTTTTAATTCTCAGACTCTGGCTGTACTGTTTTGCATTTGTCCCTTTAATGTTTTGGATGGATTAGTTAGTAAGGTAGAATTTGAGAGCAATGGTGTTTCTGATTTAATTTTGTATGGAGCACTATTCGGCTCGTAAATGTGTTTCTTTCGCTTCATTCTCGTGTGCATATGTTGTACTTCTTAGGCATTGTGCATCCTTAACCATGAGGAATTCAGTTGTATTTGACTAAAATTATTTTCCATAATCTATTTCATTATGGAACCATATGAATGTCTTGTTAGTCTTGATGTTTCTTCTGTTGAATCAAGTTCTTAGAATTTGTTACTAAACAAAAGCTTAATTTCTATAGGCTTTGGCATGATATCTATAGGCTCATCTAATAAAATTTAGACTAAATCTTAAAATTGATTCGTTTTACTGTCTTTTTGATGCTTAAGTCCTGAACTTGACTAAGTGCAATCCTAGTATGCCAAAACCACAGGACTGCTGAAAAATTGTTAACTTCAATGTTCCTGGTTGATATTTGCATCATATGTTGACGTTAGAAGTTAGATGCCACATTATTTTTCACGATTATTTCAATGTTTATGTTATTTTTGTTTTCTGTTGTAGCAGCTAAGCTGATAAATCTTAAAGTTGATTTATTTTGTTAATAATTTCTGAATGGTTCTCTCATTATATCTATAGGCTTTGGGATCTTGGTCAACAGCGATGTGTTCACTCTTATGCTGTGCATACTGATTCTGTTTGGGCCCTTGCTAGCACTCCAAACTTTAGCCACGTTTATAGTGGTGGAAGAGACCTATCAGTAAGTACATTTCACATCTGAATTGAGAGCATCATTTCCTTTGCCACATATCTTAAGTCTTATTTATCTGTAATTGAAATCTTTATGAAGATAATTTTTAATATGACAGTTATACCTGACGGATTTGGCAACAAGAGAGAGCGTTTTGTTATGTACAAAGGAACATCCTATTTTACAGTTGGCATTACATGATGATGGAATTTGGGTTGCAACCACGGACTCTTCTGTACATAGATGGCCAGCTGAAGCACAAAATCCTCAGAAAGTTTTCCAAAGAGGTGGTTCCTTTTTGGCGGGGAACTTATCATTTTCAAGAGCAAGGGTTTCATTGGAGGGATCAACACCAGTGAGTCCTAGTCTTCATTTAGTGTGCCTTAACTACACTAAGTCAAGTTAGCAATGAACATCATCTCACATAGTTTGTTTGGTTCCTTTATTCTTAAATGCTGTATCTTGGTGATCTGAAATGTATGGCATTTTCAATGTGAGTTTGAATTCTACTCAGAACTATATTTCAACTTCAAAGTAAGGAGACAATCCAAATGTGGGGACCACTGCAAAGAGTTGCAGCCAACTCAATCATCAGAACCATAACCTCTGGACAAGAATACGTTTGAAGTGGAAAGTCATTGCCTTATGAGGCTGCATTATATGCTTTTATTTTGTTGATGCATGTGACATACTGAATTTGACGTAGCTGCTTAGTTGGACACATACTGTAGTTTATATTATATGTTGGTTTGATTCAGTCAGGTGGATTTATTTTGTTTTCGATTTATGCATCTTGTTTGGTCATATGTTAGATGGCATTGTGCAAATTATTCTTCTGCTTCTGTGGCTTGAAAAAACTTTATTTTGCCTGCAGTGGCCAGGATGTCATTCGATCACAGTAATGCATACACTGGTTTTTGTTTTTCTTTATCTTTGGGCTTGCATCTCTTCACTTCTCATTTGTTTCTGATAATTTTTTATAATGAATTAGAGACTTCTGCTTAATAGTTTCTGCTTGTGTGAAAGCTTTGTTTATCTTCTCCTTTACTTCCATTTTCTGTCCATATTAATGTTATGGACTATTCTAAGATACTGTCATTGTTTCCTTCTCAGGTACCTGTATATAAAGAACCATCCTTCAGCATTCCTGGGACTTCAGGAATAGTCCAGCATGAGATCTTGAATAATAGAAGACATGTTTTAACTAAGGTATTGTGAAAGTCCTGCCCTCTCTGAAACTAGAATCTTTTCCCAATGGACTGATGTCCTTTTGTGTTTATTTTTTTTTATTTTATTTTTTTAATGCAAGTAAGTTAATCAAATTTTGGGATGTCCATGTTACAGGACACTGACGGTATAGTGAAATTATGGGAGATCACGAGGGGTGTTGTAGTTGAAAATTATGGACAGGTTAGTAATGATTTTCTTAACTTGCAATCCAGTTATTTGATAGGTCTCTCTTATGAATTGTGGAAATTACTTTGAGGTTATGTAGGGTATCTTGTTGGAAGGTCAGAACCTTGAGTTATGATGCTTGGATTGTTTGTTTTCTTTTTTTTTCCAGATTTTATTTTCTTTAAAAATCTTTTGTATCCATTATATAGTAGACTTCTTTGCAACAGATTCCTTTCTTCTTCTTATCCTTTTCCACCGGTAAATGAATTTCATTTTATTTGTTCCAAGTGTAGGTTTCTTTTGACAAGAAGAAAGAAGAACTATTTGAGATGGTAAGTGTTTCTTTCTTGAATCATTTCTGCCAACTCTGCTGGAGTTCTGACTTTTGTTGTTTGTCCAGGTCAGCATCCCTGCTTGGTTTACTGTTGATACTAGGCTTGGGAACTTGGCTGTACATTTGGATACACCACAATGCTTTTCCGCTGAGATGTATTCTGCTGACTTGAGCATCAATGGAAAACCTGAAGATGACAAGGTATTTTTTTAGAATTTTTTTCCTCATTCGACGATCTCTTGGATGAATTCGTCTTTCAGGAATGTGATAGAATGTTATTAATTTTAGACTTATCATTGCATTGCATCATTGAATATGAATTTTGAACTTGCTAGTGCAGGATATCACCAGTAGAAACTATGTACTTTTTGGTTCTAGAGGAGTCGTACAGTTTTCCCCCCTGCGAATTTAATTTTAATCTTTATTGCTGTAATAGTCTTTTTTAAGTGGCATCATTGTAACAACTTTTGTTACTGTTCATAATACCTCTATCAATGACACTGCTTAGCATTATAGAGTTACTGGAAAAACTGATCAAATTGGCAATTAATGTATGTTATGAGATGGGTGGTTGGGACTGCCCTTGATAGGATTGCTTGAAGTCCTTTCCTATGCTCGTACATTTTACGTGTTATTAATTTTCTACTGGACATTGCCTTATGGCCTATTATAGTACTATTTATTGATCATCTTACTATGACTTATCTGCTTCTTCCTATTACCATTTATAGGTTAATTTAGCCCGAGAAACTCTTAAAGGCCTCTTGGCTCATTGGTTAACCAAACGAAGGCAAAGATTTGGTTCTCAAGGTTCAGGCAATGCTGAAGTCCATTCTGGGAGAGGTGATATATCTTCCAGGAATATAGCTCTATCCAAAGGTGAGGTAGATGGGAATGCTGAAAATGATTCGATGGTGTATCCGCCATTTGAATTTTCAGTAGCTGCGCCTCCTTCTATTATTACTGAAGGTTCTCAAGGTGGGCCTTGGAGAAAGAAAATCACGGACTTAGACGGAACTGAGGATGAGAAGGACTTTCCTTGGTGGGTTCTAGACTGTGTGTTGAATAATCGCCTTCCTCCCAGGGAAAATACCAAGTACTTCCTTTACTCTTTATCTTCCATTCGTTGGCTCTGAACATCATTTTCTAGATTTGCAAGAAGGATATGCACTTTCTAGTTAACTGTGACATTTTTAGTACCTGTTGTTTCTTTCTTTAAAGGGTCAATTTTTTCCTCCCCACTTTTTCTGCTTTCTTATTGGTTTTCTTTGTTACTGTGGTTGATTGGAAGTTAACCAGTTGAACTGGTAAAGCTTTGGCATTTTTCATCTCCTCTGTGTCTATGACTAAATGGCAGGTCCCTTATGACTTTCCATGATTCTTGCAGATGCAGTTTTTACTTGTTTGCATGTGAGGGTTCAACTGTCCAGATATCAACTCAAGGAAAGCTGAGTGCACCACGTATATTGAGGATACATAAAGTAAGAACACCATCCAAGTAGAAGCGAATTATTTAATTTAACATCCCTCCCCATGTGAGGCATTGAAATTTGTGGGGCTCAATTTTTGCAGGTTATTAATTATGTCGTAGAGAAGATGGTCCTCGACAAGCCGCTGGATAGTATGAATTCTGATGGCGTGTTTCCTGGGTTGCCTGGAGGACAATTGTCACATTCGGTGGCTGGAGTAGATGGTTCTTTCCGAGAGGCGAAACCTTGGCAGAAGCGTAAACCTTCCATTGAGATTTTGTGCAATAATCAGGTAAAATAAATTGATGTTAAATGCATTTGGCTTTGCAGTGGACTTGTTTGTTTCTCCTTTTTGGTTTTGCACCGAGTCCAAGTAGCTGTTTTATGTCCATCTCTTCTTAGAAAACATTTGCCAACTAAACCATGGGGTAGTCCAAGCAACCAGGATTAATCGAAGGATTAGCAATGAAAAATTGCAGTATACTTTTTTCTTTTTTTGTTAATATCTGTAGTCTATGCAACTACTAATTGGCTATTGCAACCTTAATGCACTAGCAAATTTCAGATAAATATAAGTAGTTGTGAATATTCGCGGTAATCCCTTGAGATGCTGGTTGATTTTGCGAATTTAGAGTATGGGACTTGTACTTTTGGAACTTGGAAAGGCTTAAATCTTTTAGCAGATTGGCCAAACAGGAGAGTTAGGTTAGAAATCTTGAAGAAGGCCTGCCCAGTCAATCATTTTTTTGGTTTCTTTGTTTTGTTTGGAACCAGTCAATCATTTTTTAATTTTCAGATGAGTACTCTGTTCAATTTGTTTTTAATTTTTCTTTTTAACAAATTTGCCATTTGCCAGAACTTCCTTTTTAGCTCAACAGTAGAACACCCTCACTCTTCAAATGTTCTGAGAATGCTATGTAATTCTAGGTCTTATCCCCTGACATGAGCTTGGCCACTGTCCGGACTTACATATGGAAGAAACCTGAAGACCTAGTACTTAATTATCGCGTTGTACAGGGCAGGTGAATACCAAAACAAAAAAAAATAAAGAAAATAAAAATTAAGGTATCATACAGCAGAGTTGCAATCAAACTGAAGACGGCGGGGTTGGAGTTGCTTCTCATCTCATGACCTTATTCCTTGTATATTTGATTATTTAACCTTTGGAGATGGAGCAGTAGGGAGTGGTGTTGGAGCTGGTTGAGGTCTCTAGATTTATGAGTTCTTATAAAACATTTTCGTATTTTCGGCCAGTTTTGTCACTGGAAATGCTCTTCAGAAGTGGAAGTTGGACACATAATTTTTCATATGATGCAGTCATTAAAAAGCGGGATGAAGAATGAACTTACAAAGTTAGCTCACAAGATAGTTTAGCTACTGTGGGATAAAGAAAGATTGTACTACCTCTTATTTTTCTATAATTATTTTTTAAAAGTAATTAGTGTTTTACTCTGTAATGATAATAAATGGGTTTCTCTGGGGAATGTTCTATGGTCTAATCTCTACTGTATTTTGGCCTATTTGCCCCTTTCATTCTGAAGTTGAATCACTATCCTTCGGCATTGAAAGTCTGGTTCGTATGGGTTCTGATTTTTGTCTTTGAAGCTTCAGCTGCATTTTATACAACCTTAAATTATTTTCACTTTTCCATAATTTTGTCCAATATATCAAAATTGGAAACTTAGAAGAATGAGGCTTTCAAGATACTATCTATGGAAACCTCTGGTCATAAAACAGTCCTTTGTCCAAAGAAACTTTTCGCCTTTTTCGTATATTGACATTCTATGGCTCAATCCTTGTGGCATATGTCATACTAGCATTAGTCACATATAATCACATTTTATGAGTTATAGATATGATGAAAAGTTGTTAAGAATGCTGTGATAAAATAAAAGTTATTTACTTCATTTTAAAAACATAAACGCTAAGAGTGAATTGTAAATGTAAAAATAAATATATGTGATTAATTCTATGTAATTGTAATTTTTTTTCAGCATATATCATGACTCTTCTTATTTTATAAAAATTTCTTGATTCTCAATTTAACAGTTCAGTTTTGAAAATTGAATTCTAAAAATTGACTTAAAAGATTTATATCATCCAAAATATATTATAAAAACGACAAAGAAAGGAATATTTTCGATCACGCCATATATTACATCACGGTAGAAATAATTTTCTCTATCCCTGCACCTGAACTTTTTTGAGAATTTTGATTTCTCTTCTTCATGTTCACTTGAAAATTTTCCGCTGCCGACTAAAAAGCCATCAGCCACGAACCAACTTATACACAATTGTGGTCGCTAGAATTAACTTAACTATAAATTATAAATTATTGATTTTATTTTTTCTGTTTCGAAAAAACAAATCCACTACGGTGAGTATTGAATATAAAGTGGTGAAGATTCAATCACGTTTGTAACTAGAACATGATGTAATTTTAGGATCATCAAACCAAATTGACTACAATTTCCAAATATTTGGACCGTATTGTTAAAAGTTAAAACGTTGAGAAAAAAAATAAGGAGAGTTAAACGTGAAGATAAATCGACCATTTTCCCGAACTTGTTATGCATACGTTACACACACATATGTAGATTTTTTTTTTTTTTTTTTTTTTTGTGGGGGGTTTTCCTCTTCTTTTTTACTGTAATAGGCGTTTCTTTTAATTTCACTTTCCAATGTAGCAATCTCTTACTTCGGCTTTAGTACTGACTGAATTCAGGTTGATTTGAAGCAGTTTTACGTAAGCTCGCTATTTATTTTTTAAGAGCACCTGGTAGATTACTAAATACCTATTCTATTACATGTTGCTAAACTATCAGCTATATTATGCATCTCTACTACCTTATTTTTAGAAACTTTAATTATTTTATAAGTGGAAAAACTTCTACAAATAATACATATTTGATTAAATATCTCTTGAACCTCTACTGGTGCTGATGATGGAACTAGAGGTTTTGCAAGAGTTTCACAGTTGGTATGGACACAAATACTATGAATGTCCATCTGAACAGCCTCTTTGAGCGCAAAGAGTAATGTAGAGGCTTCTGCCTGAAGCGGGGAGAGGGCTGCAAACTTTTTGGATTTGATTTGTAAAATCATTCCATGTTTGTTTGATATTTTCAAGGCTCCTGCTGCCAAATTAGAGCTTGGGTTGAAGGATCCGTCCAAGATAACCTCATGTTCATGCGTTCCTGTGAACGTGTCATTCATGGTGATGTTTTGATCTGCATGTTGTGTATCCTTCCAGAAGTCTGGCTTTTTCTTGTGGCAAAGTTTCTGATGGAGATTAAAATCCTCTTTGACCTGATTCTATGTCTGTATGACGTCACCCTGTTGGTTCCTCCAGACTTGGCTATTTCTATGCAGCCAGATTCCCCAAACAATAAAGATAGACATAGTAATTAGTTCATCCCCTGGCGCACTAATCAACCAGTCCAAAAACCACTCTTTGAAACTCCTTCTTTGCCCGTTGTCAAAATTGAGACCTAGAGATGAGATCCTCCATAGCCTTTTAGACCACTCACCATCCAAAAAGAGATGGGAGACGCTCTCAGGGTCAATATGACATCAAGGACACTGTGTGTCATCCAGAACTCCTCACTTTTGAAGGGCTTCTTTGGTTGGCAGTGCATCATGAATCCCTCTCCATATGAGTACTTTTCATCTTTGGTGGCACATTACTTTGACACAGATGCTTCCAAGCCTTCTTCTCATAAGTCATTCTATTGGTATCTATAGGATGACCTTTCTTGTAAGTAATCTTGTATCCTAATTTCACAGTATAGTTTCCATGTTCTGTCTCCGTCCACAAAACTTTGTCCCCCCTATCAGCCAAATTAGGATCAATGTGTAGGCCTTGGATGCATGAGACTATGTGAGGTGGAAAGATCCTGCTAAGAAGAGATTCCTTCCAAGAACCAGAAGAGGATATCAAATGCTGCACTCTTAGGTTTGAGTTAGTTGCCAGGATTGAATCATCAGCAATTGGATTGTTCTGTTGGGGGATCCAATTATCACTGATCTTGATATTTTTTCCTGAGATAACTTTCCATTTGATATTACCTTTGAGAAGGTCATATCCCCAAAGAATACTTCTGTATCCCCATGATAAGTTACTCATATTATCCGCCATTGGCAAGCAGCCACCTTTATGATACTTTCCCCTAAAAAATCTAGAAATCAGAGATGTCGGAGGTGAAATAATCTTCCAGGCGTGCTTTGCTAGCAGAGCTGGTTAAATTCTTGCGTTGATCGCAACCCTAGACCACCATGTAGAGGAGATTAACAGATTTTGGACCAGGCTCTCCAATGAATCCCCTTGTTTTCATTGTCCCCCTTCTAGATGAATTTTCCAATAATCTGATTTGCCTTTTGAAGTGTACCTTGTGGGAGTTTAAAAACTCCCATAGGATAAACCATCATTGATTATAAGGTTGTTTTGGCTAAGGTAACTCTTCCTGCCAGGGACAGGGACAACATCTTTGTTTTCCAATCACCAAACTTGTTGCTGAGTTTTTTTTGTGAACTCCTCAAAGATGATATTTTTCTTTTCCTCAATGTCTAAACTCATGCCAAGATATCTGCTCCGAAAATTAGTGGATGTAATATCTGGAGCGCCATGCAGGATATCACGTTGCTGTTGAGGAGTGTTAGGGCTCAGGAAAAATAGACTGTCATCCACATACATTAGATGATTTATCCTAGAAGCCGGGTTGCTTATTTTAATCCCCAGCCTTGCTGATCTTCTCAGTTCTGATCTGATGGCCGATGATAAAGCCTGCTGATAAAGAATGAACAGGTACGGAGACAGCGGACAGCCTTGCCTGAGACCTCGATTTGGGGTGAAGAATTCTAATTGTTTCCCATTGAAAAGGATTGAGTAGGTAACAGATGACACAGATTGATAAATGAGATTGACTATATTGAGAGAAAATTTCAATTTGAGTAGTACTTCTTTGAGGAAATCCCAAGAAACTCTATTATACGCTTTGCTCATGTCCCCCTTAACCGCTGTCACACCAATTTTGCCCTTTCTTTTCTTGATGTACTCCACAATCTCATGTGCTATCAGTATGTTTCACTGATATTCTGACCAGGCACAAAACCATTCTGATCATCATCAATTAGATCATTCGTAATTGATTTT